AGGCAAGCGGGTGCAAGGCAGGGCTCCTGCCTCCTGCAGGGATCCAGCCGGGGGGCAAAGGCGGCAGCAGGGAGGGCTGCAAGAAAATTCGGCCCCCCTGGGTTGTCAGGGCTTGCGAGCTCCCTGTCTCCAGAGGCCACAGGCCTAACTGCAAGTGTGGTGGTATTGGGGAAAAACACATGCTTTAAGAAGGGCAGAACAGGCAAGCGGGTGCAAGGCAGGGCTCCTGCCTCCTGCAGGGATCCAGCCGGGGGGCAAAGGCGGCAGCAGGGAGGGCTGCAAGAAAATTCGGCCCCCCTGGGTTGTCAGGGCTTGCGAGCTCCCTGTCTCCAGAGGCCACAGGCCTAACTGCAAGTGTGGTGGTATTGGGGAAAAACACATGCTTTAAGAAGGGCAGAACAGGGCCTACTGAATCCAATCATGACAAACTGCTCCAAGAAGAGACAAGGAGGAGGCAAAGCCTCAGGTGGTTTCCTAGAAGGCAAGAAAATGCTGAGATCTAGAGGGTAGGGGAAGGGTGGGAATGGGGAGCCATCAGCTCAGACTGGGAGGACACCATTCCCCTTCACAAAAAGATTAAGTTTGTATTTGTTCAGATCAAGCCTATGCCTTCCTGGAATAGACCACCTGAATATACCCTATAGGTGAAGACAGAAGAGGGGGACTGGGTTGATAGGACTGATGGTCACCGTCAAAGATGAGTAGACTAGTCATGAGTAGTCCCAGGATTAGATGAGAAGTCTTGTTAAATTTCTAACTGTGGTGTGTCTGGAGAACAGAGATACCTTAGTAGATGAGCTAGGTATGGAGCCGAAAGGCTTGTGCTTAAAAGCTATGGGTGCATCTGGGTTTAAACATTCTGCCAGAGTGCTGGCGCATGTTCACAAATGGGACAAAACAACAAAGGCAGGTTAAAATTTGGAGAAATACTGAGATGCCAAAGCTGGTGCAGCTAAGGAGGCGGTTCACATGGAGCAAGGAGGGTCAGTGCAGGAAAGCGGCAAGAATGGGTAAAGTGGCAGGGAACAATGTGCATGAGGCCTCGGTGAGGAAAGTGGCCTTATTAAAGCCTTAGGTGGGGAGCCTGAGGCTGGAACAGCAGGGAGCCTAGGCGTGCTAGAGGGAGTGCTCTGTACCAGCACCCAAGCAGAGCTGGGTATGGACTGGCTCTTCTTTTCTCTGAAAGACAAAGGGAGAGATCTGCATGATCAAAGTCATGACAATGTGTTTGTGTGGGCAAGAAGAGAGAAAGATCTGGGGAGACAGAATGATCTTAAATTACTTTTTCTGTCTTCTGTCTTCTGCAGTGAACCTCATGCCCTGAATCTCCAAGGGAACCTTTGAGCAGGATCTTCCCCTCCTCCCATCGCGTTATCGTTTGCTAGTGCCGGGCAGGGCAGCTGGAAGGAGCAGACTGAGCCCTGGAGGACTTCATAAAAGTAGTGAGGGTGCCATGGGCTCTTGGACAGGGAACTCTTTGCATCTTCTCCCCACCCATCACTCTCTGCCAACAATTCTTTGACAGTCTTGGCAGGAATATCGATCTGCCTGGCCAAGAGTGTGGCACTTGGTGAGTGAGGGATTACACGCTGTGTATGTGCCACCCTTGCCATTTCCCCAGGACCTTTCTCCTGCCTCCCTTTTTCTCTATATCACTTTGCCAGCTCCTCATTCACTAGGACACTGGGCACCAGGGACCAAACTGTCTGGAGCCCTAACAATTCCTGTTTGCCTGTAGCCTTCAAAATTCCGAGGAGAAGGTGGTCCCAGAGACAGAAAGTGTCTGGGAGGCACATGAAGTAAGGAGAGCTTTTTCTCTGGGGGAAGAGTGGAGGAGGGAGATAAAATAGATGGGGAGAAAAAAAAAAGAGTGCAAGAGAGTGCGGGAAGAAGTGCTGACAAGTGCTTATGAGAGAGAGAAAAAGTGGAAGAAGGGAAAAGAAAGAGAACAAGGGAAAAAGCAGGCGGAAGAGATAGAGCAAGTGAAAAAAATATAAGCAAACAAGAAGGAAGGGGAGGCCTGAAGGACAGAGTGGCAGGGTCTCTGCCCAGCCTCTCTCTTGCCTCTCTGCCTAGCACCTGATGACAATGCTGTGAGGACACGCTCCAGCGTGCATACACCTTGCATAATAGCAGCAGCAGATGAGGAGGGACGTGGTTACCTCCATGTGGAGTCCCTTTCACCCTCTTACAAAATCCCAGCAACAGGGGCAGGGTGAAGCCTAGTGGGAGTGGCAGCATGGGGGACTCATCAGAGGCCACCTTGCACAACAACTCTCTGTGGTGGCTAGCATGCGGGATGTTAGCCCTCTTGGCCAACTCCTGGATTATTCTCAGCATCACAGCCAAGCAACAGAAACACAAGCCGCTGGAGCTGCTCCTATGCTTCCTTGCTGGGACCCACATCCTCATGGCAGCAGTGCCCCTCACCACCTACGCTGTGGTGCAGCTGCGGCGTGAGTCCTCTGACTATGACTGGAACGAGAGCATCTGCAAGGTCTTTGTCTCCACATACTACACGCTGGCTCTGGCCACCTGCTTCACAGTGGCCTCCCTCTCCTACCACCGCATGTGGATGGTGAGATGGCCAGTAAATTATCGGCTAAGCAATGCCAAGAAGCAGGCTCTGCACGCAGTCATGGGCATCTGGATGGTGTCATTCATCCTCTCCACCCTGCCCTCTATCGGCTGGCACAACAACGGCGAGCGCTACTATGCCCGTGGCTGCCAGTTCATTGTCAGCAAGATAGGACTGGGCTTTGGCGTCTGCTTCAGCCTTCTGCTTCTTGGGGGAATCGTCATGGGCTTGGTGTGCGTGGGTATCACTTTCTACCAGACCCTGTGGGCACACAGAAGACGCCGGCAGTGCCGCCATCAGCGGACAGAGGAAGCGTCATCCTCGTGTTCTTCCTCAGCACACAACACTTTCAATGTGCCAGCCATTGTAGTGGAGGATGTGCGAGGCAAAAGGAGGTCTTCCCTGGATGGCTCTGAGTCAGCCAAGACCTCCTTGCAGATGACCAACCTCATCAGCGCTATTGTCTTCCTGTATGACACACTCACTGGGGTGCCTATCTTGGTAAGCAGCGAGCTTCCCCTTTCCCTTCACAGAGTCCACAGTTAAACTAATTTTTGTTTGTTTTGAGTTTAGACTAGAAGCTCTGTCTTCCGTCTGCCGATGACAGAGTTGCCGCATCTGAACCTCCATAATTCTTAGGGCCAGTTTTAAAGAGATTGTTTACATCTACGGGAACCTTTTCTTTGTGTTTAGTCTTGTCTTAAGAATACACATTACACAGCTGAAAACTCTGTGAAAGTTAGAAACAGCTAAGAAGAGACTGGAGAGGAAATTATTCTGCATACTTACAAGGTGATTTACATACCTAAAAATGATGAGATTTTGATTTCTCTGATTTGCTTCTGGAGAACTGATACACCAGCTTTAAAAGCTGTTGCTGTCAGTTTCCTTTTCCCTTCTGCTTGCATGTTCATAGTCAGCATTCATGTTTTGACTGGCTGGTTGATTTTCTGAACACTGAAGAGCTGAGAAAGTTTACTAAGGGAACCATTAAGGGAGCAGAGGCTTAGTCACCATTTTTCTTTTTCTTTTTTTTTTTTTTCTTTCGTTTTTTTTTCCAATCACCGTGTCCTTTGTTAGCGCCTATTTAGCTCCAGCTCATAATGAGCTCTGGAAAGGGGCATGCTAAGCGTACTGCTCGGGTTAGAGAGAGGACAGCTCAGAACACCCTCCAGCAAACCTGGGACAACACCCTAGGAAAACTTTTTAAAACAGGGCCTGGGGTAATTACTTGAAGAAGCCTTCATTTATAGATTACATACTAATACAAAATTGACTAACGGTATCTTTCTCCCTTGACCCCATTCCTGTCTTTTACCTTTTTCATGGCCCTGATTTTCTCTCCCATCTCAAAGGTTGTGAGCTTTTTCAGCCTGCGCTATGATACAGCCCCCACCTGGATGGTTCTGGCTGTGCTCTGGTGCTCTATGGTGCAGACCCTGCTGCTCCCCTCCTTCATCTGGTCCTGTGAGCGCTACCGGGCTGACCTCCGCACTGTGTGGGAACAGTGTGTGGCTATCATGTCTGAGGAAGACGGAGATGATGGTAAGACTCTCATCAACCCAAAACCACCTTTCCTCACAAATACTGTCCCTTCAAGACCACGGAGGAGAGACTGATTCTGCCTTGAGAAAAGGACCCAGTGGCAATGGAACTGCTGTTGTGGGGGTCTAGGTAGGATTCATATTTAAGCTTAAAGTTGGCAACCATAAGGCAATTTATTCTGGAGAAAGCTCTGGCATTCATATGCCACCATAAGGACTGACGACCATCCAGGAACAATTAGTGCAACAGCTCCACAGTAGGCCTGAGAACAGAGGTGATGCGTAGCCATCAGACCACAATGAAAATGACACACAAGCCCTTAGCCAGGCCTGCGGATGCAAAGGCCCAATCAAATTGTGGTGGTGAGAGATTTATAAGTGGGACAGGAGAAAAAGGCAATCTTCTGTGTACTTTAGCCCTGCTGGAAATGGAAAGAAGTCCTTAGAAGTTCAGAGAGCTACGAGCAGGGTGGCAAAAAACAGACAAGCATTACAGAGGTGTCTGGGTGCCTTGATAATACTTATCTTTTAGCAGAGAAACCTTTCCTGCTGTTCTCCCCTTTGCCAACAGATGGGGTATGTGAGGATTATGGTGATGGCAGGATCTGCAAAGTGAGATTTGATGCAAATGGTGCTGCAGCTGTGAAGCGGGACTCCCGGGACATCAAGCTGCTACCCATGCATCACATGTTGTTGCCCCAGGACAAGGTGCATTATCTCCAGGTGAGCCAAAGGGTAGCAGGGGCAGCTCCACTTCCTTCTCTGTCGGTTTCCCATATCTTTGTGTCCTACTGACTCCTTTCTCTCAGAAGGTCTCAACTATGCTACATCTACTCTTTCTTTTCTCCAAGCCTTCCATCAACTGTCTCCTTCTCCTCTTTCCAGGTCCCTATCTCCCGAAGAATGTCACATGATGAGACAAACATCTTCTCCTCCCACCGCTCTGCTCCATCCTTCCTACACAAGTGGTCCTCATCCGATGATATCCGCATCTCCACCCCCCGCAAACCTGGAGGCCCTGGCTTCTTGCCTCCTCAGCTGCATGACTACCAGCACCGCCGGCGGCCCCCAGAAGATGAGCTGACAACCCTCCGGCAGTTTCTGGAAGGGGGGCTGATGCCCCGGGGATCCAGCTCCAGTGCCTGCTTCTTCCGAGATGAGATCACCACATTCATCGATGAGACGCCACAACCCACTCCAGCCTGCAGCCCACGGCACTCCCGTCTCTTGCTCACGTCACGCCGTGATCGCCGCCTCTCGCTCGGCAGCAGAGAGGAGGAGAATGCTGACCGTCCACGGCGCTGCTCGCTGGCTGGCAACGAAGCCTGGCATCCGCAGGAAGGAGAGCAGGCACCACATGAACGGACCCTTGAGGCCTGTGAGGCTCAAACCTTCCTGGATCCCAAACTTTGAGAGACAGCATCAAAAACATTCAGTGCCATCAAGGTTTTTAAATAAAACTTCAGATGTCACCTTGTCCTGAGACCCAATTACTCATTTACATTCTCATCTTTCTCGCCAGCAGGCAGGAGAAAAGGCACCTCACAGTCATGGGGAAAGCGTGACAGATCTGCAGAACGGACTGTTATGGATGTGGACGGTCTGCGCCTGCTCTCAGGTTATAAACACAACCGCCGCTGTGAAAGCCATTTGGCACCCTAGCCAGTCCCATCCCTTTGTGAACTCCTCCACCCTCGCGTTAGCCCTGCCCTAAAAGACAAGGCAGGCACAGGATGGTATTAAAATTCTATACTTGGAGTGTCAATCGTGTGTCTGTTTTTAAAATAATATATTAGTAATAATTTTGTTTCCATAGAAACAAAGCGATTGGCTTAATGTTTAATGAAGCTTTTCAGGCTTCTGGAAGGGAAATACAGAATGTGCAAAGTTCCTTCCCTGCTTCTCTCTCTCCCCCCTCCCTGCACCCTTCTCTCTCTCTCTCTCTCTCTCCCCCCCTCCCCCTTTCTAGTCAGTACATCTGGGAGGCAGCAGATATTTAACAGCTCAGGGACAGAAGCAAAGTCTGTATTGAGGAGACTGGGTGAAAAGTTTTCCTCTCCATCTCAGGAGAGACTCAAGCTATCTACAGCTAAACAGGAGTGGCCTATGTCATTTCTACTGTTGCTCAACAAAAAGTATTACTTTGAGGCAACCCTATGCTTGAAACAACTAAATTCTCTGCATCAGGATTAAATCCTTCCCCAGTGTGATCTGCTGATTTTCATTTAAATTCTTCATGAAACAGAACACCCCAAGCATGTCACCTAGATAAAAGCCCAGTTTGGAATTGCTGTTGTAACTGCGCATGCAAGACCCCTAACCTGCCAATTTCATCAAAGCTGTGAACTCTGATATCTGAATGAGGTTTCCACTTTGTGCAGAGATCTCAGAAGGGGCATACCAATCTGGTTTGTGGAAGATGGTCATTTTCCTTCCAGACACTGGTTGTAGTTCCAACCATGGAATTACAGGGTTGTTCATGTGCATGTTCCAGGGGGCAGCTGCATCAGAAGGACTATGGGATAGATACAGCTCTTCACCTTCATGTAAAGGAACTTAGTCTATGAACTTTGAAATATATCCTGCATGCATTTGGGTAAACTAGTCATAACCCCTTGGTGGCTTTTTGGGCAGAGTCTAGTTCTCATGTACTGAAGGAAGGTTTAGCTGTTGCTGATACTTGGTGGCTGCCTGGGCAATGAAATACATCAGACAAAGAGGTGTCAGCCTTACAAAGGACCTGCCATGGATTGGTCTAGCCTTTCTAAAGTCATGATAGGTCCCAGCTGCTGCGATTGAAACTCAGGCAAGCTTTATTTCTGTCTGTGGGTTTTGTTTGTTTTCCCTGTAGAAAAGTCATAAAACTGCCACCTCGCAGGCAGCTCCCTTGGGGTTCATGGATGCAGGGTGGTGGGTTATAGCTAAGCAACCCTAGATCATGGGGTTATGATTATTTTATTTTAACACATTACATGCAGGTGCTCAGCACTGCCACTCAAGATGTCAGGGTTCAGCCTCGGCTCCAGGAAGGCCAGGAATTCTTTCCCTGTCTTTGTGTCCCCGGTCTAATTGCTGACTTACCCCACAGCTGGGAGACTGGGGCGGGAAGGCGGCGCAGCAGAAGGGGACACGCTGCGGATGGGCTCCCAGGCTGCGTGGCCATGGTGCTCGCCTCTGCCAGGGCAGGAGAGGCGTGCAGGGGACTCAGGCACCGGAGGGGCCCAGCGCAGCCCAGCCTCCGGGGTGTGTCTAGCCCAGGCCCTGCCAGAGCTTCCACCCGCCCCCGGTCCCCTCCTCCTCCGCAGCTCGGCCATGGCCTCCCCGCTCCTCCTGCTGCTGCTCGCCCTTGCCGCCGCTGCCACGTCCCCAGCCGCGGGCCGCCTGGGCCCCTACGAACTGCT